AACTTCTCAGTCTCTCGGAGTCTCAGGGTACCCCAGGGAAGCTGTTGAGTTTGTTAATATTGTAACATTGACAAAGACAGATAAACCTCTTTCATTCACTTCTATTTTTGGCAACTAGCTTAGAACACAATCTTCCAACCCTATGAATCATGCCTTCAAACATATTTCCTATATACATCCACCTGTCTGAAAGAGGAAAGGGAATCTCTGGCATTAGGCTGGCCAACTTGGTAAGGCAGGCTTTAAACTGAAGGAATCAGGGTGTGGGGTCCAAAGTACCAATGCTCATGGCATCAAATCTAGCTGGGGAACAATCCCGGCCAATCAGAGCAGGGACAATTGTTCCTTAACTGCCTCCCAAGATGAGATCCAGAAGGCAAACCACCTCAAGAGTGTGTATGGCTGTGGTGGAACCTTTTGCATCCTTGCTGGGAAACCTGCACACTTGATTACCTCTCTGAAATGCACATAGCATGGAAAATAAATAGGAAGAATTAGAGATCTGTGTGTGGTCACAGTGCCATCATCCCATTGCAGTTACAGAGACATGATGGGATAGCTTGCATGACTGGAATGCTGCCATGGATGGCTATGGGCTTTTTAAGAAAGACAAGCCAGCAATGTGAGGTGGTGGAGTTGCTCCTTATGTGACAGAGTAACTGAGATGTATTATGCTCTGTTGGGGGGTGGATGAAGAACAAGTTGAAAATTTAAGCATAAGAATTCAGGGACAGGCTAACATGGGTGACACTGCTGTGGGTGTTTGCTACACGCTGCCCTGTCAGGAAGAGGAAGTGAAAGTTCTAGAGATAGCTCAAAGGAGCTCACAGTCACAGGCCCTGGTGCTCATGGTGAACTTCAGGCACCCTGATCTCTGCTGGAAAGACAACACTGCCAGGCACACACAATCCATGAGTTGGATTGAAGAACACTGATGATAAATGATTTGGATGCAGGACTTGAAGGTATTCTAAGTTTGCCAACGAAAATAAATTGGGATGAGATGCTGACTCCCTCAAAGTCAGACAGACCCTGCAGGAAGACCTTGACAAATTAAGAGCTGGGCAATCAAGAACCGTATGAAGCTTATCAAAGACAAGTGCCAGATTGTACACCAGGGAATGGTGCAAACCTGGATGTACATACAGACTGGGGAACAAGTGGCTGGAAAACAGTGTTGTGGAAAGGGACCTGGGGGTCCTGACTGATGGCAAATTGAATATGATTCAGCATATTCAGAAGTAACCACTCAGTCTTGCTTGTCCATCATGAAAAACCTCAAGTGAACTGCTCAACACACAGATATGCTAAAAGCTTTTCTCTAGTAATGTCATCTTCATATCTCAGTTTGCTCACCTATGGAACAGACACAATAAATTGTGTGTCCTGGCAGTCAAAAGGGTCGAATGTGTCCTAGGAGGTATCAGGCACTGCATCAGTGGCTGGTCGAGGGAGGGGATTGTCCTGCTCTGCTCTGCACTGGTGCGGCCTCACCTTGAATATTGTGTGCAGTTTTGGGCTCCACAGTATAAGAAGGACATAAAACTATTAGAGAGTGTCTAAAGGAGGACAACAAAGACGGCGAAGGGCCTTGAGGGAAAACCGTATGAGGAGAGGCTGAGGGCACTTGGCTTGTTCAGCCTGGAGGAGACTGAGGGGAGATCCCATAGCAGTCTACAGTCTCCTAAGAGGGGGACGAAGAGGGCCAGGCGCCCGTCTCTGGTGACCAGTGACAGGACTCCAGGGAACGGCATGAAGCTATGTCAGAGGAGGTTTAGGCTGGATATAAGGGAAAAATTCTTCACCCAGAGGGTGGTTGGGAACAGGCTCCCCAGGGAAGTGGTCACAACTCCAAGCCTGTCAGAGTTTAAGTGTATGGACAATACTTTCTGGCACATAGTGTGACTCTTGGAACTCTTGTGCACAGGGCCGGGATCAGGATTTTAATAATTCTTTGTGGGTCCATTCTAACTCAGCATATTCTATGATTCTACAGTGAGTACTTTTTAAAAACTTAAGGATTTCAATTTTTTTTTTTTTAATTTTTAAGAGTCAAATAAAACAATGTGAGAGGCTACAGATGCATGTTATCTGTTCAAAAGAAAACCGGCACTGTCTAATGCAACTGTCGAAATAGCCTGTCCTAGTTGCACAAGGGCTCAGTGAGGCAATGTCTGGAGCACATTTTTTATTAGACAAGGAAAGGTAGAACCATTCTACCCTGTTCTGACTGTTCAGACGCTTGCTACAAGTGTTACAAGGCCCAGTGCAAATTACTATTTCCACATTCATATCATCTCTTATTATCTCTGCTCAGTCACTGTGAGGCAGCCTAATCTATTCCTCACCGTACAGACCATTTTATTCTAACCACTAAATAGCATTTCCCATTTGGATTCTGATACTCAGCAACAGGCTCATTTGTTTAAAGACAGTTTCTACATACCTCACTAAAAAATGACATTTTACAGACAGGGAATTTAAACAGTTTCCCAACCCAGAAGTTTAACCATTGGTTGTATGTATATGTGCTTGTGTATATATATAAGTGTTATTTAAGTAAATGGCATAAATGACAATTACAAAGTATTGCAGAGAATATATGATGAGTTGTCATAATAAAGACTTTAAGATTCCTTTTGCTGATGAATAACTAGTAAAAATATATTTATGAGCCCTAAGTTGCAAAGCACTTATACAGGTGCTTAACATCAAGCAAAAGTATTCAGTGGGACTGATCTCGAATTAACCTAGTTTCACATTAGTATTAGATAGTGGCTATTTAGTGATGATAACCAAGTTTTTTTCCCTCATATGAGGCTGTAAGAATAACGTGAGGACATCTGGAAAATTGTCTGTAGGAAAACAAGTCCAATCACCTCAAAGGAGGTGAATGAGGAGAGAGACCATCTTATTTTTTATTACCATACCTATCATACACTGGGGCTTATTGACAACTTCTTTCGTACTTGCAGGTGATAGTTAATTTCTCCTTTCGCATCATCCCTCATTAACATCCAACTTTGCACTTCATTTTCAAACATGTCTGCAGCCCATTTGGGTGCTCCTAAATCAACATGGAGTATGTTGCATGGGTATACAATTGTACACTTATGAATAAACTTGTAAGGAGATCATATACAAGCAATGACTTCCTTATGTCAAAACAGATATTTGTTATAAATATAAGGAATGGCCATTTTTTCACAACAATGATGATTTCATGTAAAATGTAGGCCTCCACAAGATAACATTTTCAGCAAAATTTGCAAACTGATCACTTTTCTATCAAGAAAAGCAAACCATAATTTTTTTGGGGGGAGGGTGATCTATAGGCTGATCATGCCCAGTTTTTGAGACTGTTTATTGACCTAAGTGTCACAGTGTCCCTTGGAAATCTCTCTGTTTCTGATTACATTTCCACACCTCCCTGAAGAGGGGCTTCCAGTTAGATTAACACAACAACTCAGCTTAAAGTTATGGAATAGGGATAATAATATCAATTAAAAATATGAACGTAGCTGTGTTTTACAAGAAATTCATCTATTTCATCTTGATTTTGGATGAAAAGAAATGTGAAAATATCAAAATTTCCCATAGGAGAGAGAGAATTTTAAACTTCATTCCTTAGCTATCCCTAGTTGACTTAAACATGAACTGAAGGGAATACTTGGAAACATGATTTAGAATTAAGTTCTGTGCTGGCCACAAAATGAACACCTTCTCCAAAACTGGGCATGATCAGCCTATAACTCATAAGTTATATAAGTTATGTGATGTTACAGGAAGTCAACTAGGTCTACTTACCTGGCCCTTTACCTGCCCTTGAATGCCATTTTTCTTGAGATGGCCCTCTGGCAAAAGACTTAAGCCTAGATAAATTATTCTGCTGGTGACAGTCTGTTCCTGGCTGCCTTTTCCATCATACTGAGCTGCATTGTTCATGTGCTACACACTTTCAAGTGCTCTGGCAAGTGTCTGGGAAAAAATGGTGACTGAGAACAGACCTCTTATCACCGTCAGAACCATGAATTCATGAATAGCTCCTCTGCCTGACTTCTAAATTGCCTGTGGGCCAGAGAATAGCTAAAAGTGCAAACTATCTGTGTTGGAAGAAGACACCAGTTATTCTTTTTCCTAGGACAGTTATACGGCTATTTGTGTTCCAGTCGTAGGTACAGAATGTTCTTAAGCCTAACCTGAAAGGAGGTTGTAACAAGGTGAGGGTCAGCTCCTCTTCAAGCAAACAGAAGCTCCTTCTTGCTTTCCTGATTAAAATTTCTTTTAAGATTTTAGTAGTAGATCACCTGCCCAGGGTGCATTACCTTGTTTTGATTTCTTTTTGTTGAGTACAGAGTGAAAGAGCTGATGTGCTCTCTGAAGAAATGAGATTTTCTGAGCAAATGTTCTACTTGTGTAGGGAAGCTGATTTGCAGGTACCAGCTGTCAGAGATGAAGGGAGCAAGTACATGCCATTGCATAGATCAGACACGTGCCTGGTCAGTCTTATTTTCCAAGGCTTTAGCATGCAACTCAGAGGCACTCTGGCCTTGACCTTTATTCTGGTAAAACACAGCATGAAATTATATAACAAAATAGCAAGCTGCTGTTTCAAAAACAGGGAAAAGGAAGCCTGACAGGATACAGGAGAAACTGTGTATCATTTTAGGGGTGAACTGCTGAATTGGTTATGTGAAGGAAAAAAGATTATCTTCTTTCGGTCACAAAATTATCTTCCTACAAGAAATGTGGAATTATTTTTGAAAGCCACAAGGCACGATAGATACTTTTTGGAGTGCTGTGTGGATAAGTCGTTGGAACACACGTTCTAATGAGCTGATTTGGGATTTTTCAGAGCAGTGAAAAGTCACAAGATTCAGCACTGTGACAGGCATCTTATTTTTATTTGACATGTCCTGAAATGTGAATCACAGTATTCATATTGGTTTTCTCAGAGTAGAACATGAGAGTTTCAGATGCTGATTCACGCTCTTACCTGAAAGCATTGCAACGACTATTTCATGTCAGCTTAAGTTCCAAGAGGGCTGGAGGTCTGGCAAAAGCACAGAAGTCCCAGTCAAAATGCTGCAGAAAGAAATAACAAAGAAAAACAACTGGAAAAGACAAGCAACACTTCCTCTTTCCAGGACTTAAAAAGATAGAGAGTCACGGACTCTTATGCTACTCAAAACACATGCGTTTCATTCAAGTGATGAAAATATAAGCAATCAAAGGAAAACTTATCAGTGTAAAAATCACTCTGTGACACATTTTTTTAGAAATACACTGTTGTATTTGCTTTGGTAAATGCAATGCTGAGAAATAGTTTGAAACAGCTGGTACAAGTGGAAATTAATAATTTTGCCTAGGTCACAGTAGATGTTTCTTGCATACATATATAAAGAAAAGAGCAGAGACAAATTTTATAACATAGCAGAACAATTTATCTGCCTCATAGGCTCATGAATATTTGAACTGAGCTTTTGAGGCTGAGAAAGTAGTCTGAAATCTCAAACTCTTGTTATTTCCTCCAGTAATTGTGGAGTTTTGATGTTTACCTCCACAAGAAAGTAAATCTGTTGAGAATTTTATCCTTATATGAAAAGTATATATTTTTAGTGGGCAAAAGACATGAAACAGAGTTTGTATTTTATTGTGGCACAGAACTATGAGACAAGATCTACAAATGTGGAGTGCTCTTGTATCTGAAATGCCATTGGGTTGCTCTTATATGCCATGAATGCTTGAAACAGCCTACCTCTTGCCATAATAAAAGTGAAAGGAAGAGAGACAGAGAGAAGGAAAGGCAGGAAGGCAACAGATGTCATATATATATTAATGGCAATGGAAGGTGATCTAACCTATGGGACCCTTATCTGAAGGAACTATGAGTGCTCGGAATTAAATGGTTTACTAATTTCCATGACAAATTGAGAGTTAAAGTTTTAGACTCAACGATTTATAACATATTCTGGATAAAAAAATAATTCTATTATATGCACAATACAGCCTATGAAGTTACAAATAGAGCTGCATAAATACTGGATAGATGAGGAGGTTTTTTTCTCAATAGAGAAAAATAGTCGATAGCTTTTCTGCATAGAGCAATCTGATTCTGAGTTAGAAGTTAATTTTGAGGCTGAGGTGCTAGGCTTGTATTTTCTTAAATGAAAATGAGAAGATGTGGACTACAGAAAAACATAAACAAATGGTCTTCTAGAGTTCATTTTCCTGTAACAGCTATTTAGGAAATGTAAAAGAAAATAGTCTGATATTTTCTGTTATCACTGAACTTATGAGGATTAAATTATTCCTTTAGTTGAACATAAGATCCTTCTGCATCTTAGCCTCATCCTCTTATTTTTAATCTGTATTTTTCAAAGTTTTAACATGGAGGTAATTACCTGTCACTGCTGAGTAGAGTTACATACAGAAACAAAAAATAGGTTCCCCTTTTGGCAGGAAAGTAACAGTATTATGACCAGACAATTTAACCATTATTTTTTGGCTCACTCAGAAGTTAACACCTGCTGAAGCATTTATATTTCTCTGGGCACTTTAACAGAGAGAAAAGCATTGCTACAGCAGGTTACAACCGGCTTACAAAAATAAGTTTTTCTTTTGCAGTCTGCAGCCTTGAGATTTCATTGTTGTAATCAAACAACAAAACCAACCCTGAATATTAGATTCCGCACCATAAGAAAGCCTCCAAAGCCAACCAGTTCCCCAGACTGCCTTTCACCAGCCTATACAAGGTTTTAGATTTTCAGTACTTGTGTACATCACTTAAGTTTTTAGGGAAATGCTAAACATATTCCTTTTCAACAAGCAAAAATTTCACATGGCAGAGCTAAATTCATTTTAGCACAAAAACCTTGATTAAATCTTGTGACACTAACCTAAGGCTGTCTGAATAGGCTGACAATAGCTACCTATGCCACACAGCTCTTGCTTTCACCAGTAGAACAGATTTTCTAGGGATGTATTAGAAATGGAAAAAGACTAATCTGTCCTAAGTAGACCCTCTCTGTTCTAATTATGTGTATTTAGACCCTGGAAAGACACTCAGTCCTCTCTATCCTCCTTATTGCTGTCGGGCTTCCTTTTCCATCATTTGGGAACAGCATTATAAGAGCCCAATAATTCAAGGAAGCACAGTAACTTCCTTTTAGTGGAAAGGGAATTTCTGTGTAGTAGGTTTCTGTGGCTAGGTTTTGGTAGTGGAGGGGCTACAGAGGTGGTTTCTGTTAGGAGTTGCCAGAAGCTTCCTCTGGTTGGTGGAGCACAATGCCAATCGGCTCCAGGATGGGCTTCCTGCAACTGGCCAAGGCCCAGCTAATCAAGAGAGCTAGTGACACCTCTATGATAACGTATTGAAGATCAGAAAGCTATCGCACAGTGAAAATTCCAGCCAGGGAAGAGCAGAGAGAGAACATGTGAACAATGATGTAGTGCTGAAGCTGAGGTCCCTGCAGCCCGTGGTGCAGACCATGGTGGGGCAGCTGTGCTCCTGCAGCCCATGGAGCCCATCGGGGTGCAGAGACCCCCCTACAGCCCATGGAGGAGCCCATGCTGGAGCAGGTGGATGCAGGAAAGAGGCTGTGACTCCATGGGAGGCCCCAGATGGAGCAGGGTCCTGCTGGGGACCTGCAGCCTGTGGAGAAAGGAGCCCACACTGGAGCAGGCTTTTCCCAGGCAGGACTTGTGGTCCCTGTGGGGGACCCACACCAGTACAGCTCATTTGTGAAGGACTGTACCCTATTGGAAAAGTGACCCACGGGACAGCAGCTTGGGAAGAACTGTTACCTGTGGGATTGACTCACACCGGAGAGGTCCATCAAGGACCGTCTTCCATGGGAGGGACGCCACAGGAGCAGGGGAAGGACTCCTCTCTCTGAGCAGTGGCAGAAACAACAACTGACTGTAATCCCCATTCCACGTCCCCCCGCACCGGGGGGGAAGGAGGAAGAACATGGAAGGAAGAAGAACATGGAAGGAAGAAGGGATGGGGGGAAGGAGTTTGTAAGATTATTTTACTTCTCACTCTTTTGCTCTTATCCTGTTAGTAATAAATTCATCCAGTATCCCCACTTTGATTTTATTATTAATATTAACTGATTAGTAGAGCAGATTCGTAATAGACTATTCAATTTGAGTAGTGTCAGTAAGCCTTAGTTCACTTGTATTGACAGCAGTCAGATTTTGCTAATAAAGACTTCTTGTTTTCTCCCAACTTGGAATACATCTCAGAAGCTTTTCTCTGGTTTTCTTTTCTTTTTTTTCTTTTTTTTTTTTTTTTTAACAAAAGTCCCAGTACTTCGGGTATTTAGTGGAAACTTGCAGCTTCTCTCAAGACAGCTGGTCATTCTTCCTCTATTTGTACATTTCATTTACATCCATGTTGGCACATTTTAAACTACAGACAGAAAAAAAATTGGCATTTTGTTTCAAAGCAGAGCTGCAAGAAGAATTTGTTGCCCATTATTTTACCTATAGTATTTCTAGTTGGGATTTTTTTTTTTAATGACAGAGAATAAACAAAAGATATTGCCACATATTTCAAACCATAAGCTTTTAAAAAGCATCATTATCTTTTTTTTCTATCCAGTTACAGGAGCAGAACAGCCCACAAGTGCTGTGTAGGGTATTTTGTAGCCTCATTTATTTAGAAATTAATCTCACCTGGCAAAGTAAAAACTATTTGCTATTCCCAGCAGTGATGACCTGAAAAAGTCAGCATTAAACAGTGTTTGTTAGAGACTTTATAATGTAATCAGGCCTCTTTATTGATGCTTGCTGCTGAGAAGGGCATAAAGGTTCTCCCAGAGAAAGCAGAGGAAACTTGGCTTCAGCAAATCACTTAAGCAGGTGCTTATTTAAATATGTGTTTAGTTTAAGCAGGTGCTTATATTCCATCAAAGTAAACTACTCTCAAAAATATACTTCAGTGCTCTTCTTAAGCTGGGCTAGCACCTCGATTAAAGCCTAAATTTTCAAACACATTTCTGACTTTTCTCTAAAGGTCTTTGAGAATTTCACAGCCCCAACTTAGTTGTTATCCATCTGCAATGAATGAGAACATTTTCTTCCTCCATATGCAATCTCATTGGTTGATGAAGAAAATATAGTTTAGTCTTAAAAAACAGAAATCAGAAGTCTTACCTCTCCCATATTAAAGAATGTAGGTTAAAATGAGCTTTCATTCCTCTAACAGGGTGAATAACTATGTTTGTAAGGAAGACCAGTTGTGAAGAGATGTAGCAAACATATAGGCACTTGCATTCTTACCACTGAGTCACAACTGAGCCTGAAAACAGACTATTCACTTCTTGGGATCTTTAAGGGTCCCTCAATCTCTTCATATGAGCCTGTGTCTGAGTCACATACCACACCCAGATGTCACCATCAGTAGCCACATTTCCCCAAATAAAATAGCCCATTTCTTCAATCATTTCATTCTAGAAAAATAGGTTGTTCATATAGTTTCCTACCACATTTCTATGACAAATGAAGAATGTCTGTTTACAAAATTCCCAGTTCTAAATGTTTCAAATAAACTGATGGGAGTTATCCTTGAATAGTAACAGTAGAATTAATACCAGTAAAATGTATAACAAACACCTATAGTAAGCTATGCCTCTGCTACAAGGAGTTTTGTGTATTTACATGTGAGTAACTGAGTAAAGGAAAATGACTTTTATGAAAGAAATGTAAAGAGAGAAGAAGGAAAAGAACTGCTATTACAAAGTACAATTCTTTGAACATTTTTGTGCCAATAAAGAAATGATTGGGGTTTTGGAGGTGTGGTTTGCACACTTAGTTTTATTCCTGATGTCTCAATGATTTTTTTCTGTTTGAAAAATTTAACCTCCAAAAAATCAATGGGTGCTTCTAGATAAAGACTATAGGGTCATCAGACACGTAGATGTTAAAAAAGCGATACTCTTTCTGTCTCAGACCTCCTTCATCAAGGATTTGCATATATCTAGAATGATCAAATTTCTAATTTGTAGAGTATTTAAGGATTTTTGGAGATGAAAGGCACCATTCAAATGTTAGCTATTACCATTGCAAGAGGCAATCTTTACTATCACAGTAGGGGTAAGTGCTATAATTAGTGCCAGATAACACTGCTACCGTTATTCATCTATATTACTGACAGTTCTGAAATTATCTTGTGGGGAAAAGTAGATATTAGTTGAGAACTTATTCCTGATTCTGATCCCTAATTAATTGAATGTATAATCCCTTAGAAACGTATATGCTCTTTTACCTGATATATTACAGTAGTTGCTGTTAGCGTGAATGACAGTATATTGGTCTTTATGTGCAATAGGACACTGAATATGATATTGTAACCTTTTCCTTTTACTTTCCTTTGAACTTCCAGGTTCAAGCTGTTACTAGCTGATTCATACCTGTGTTTCTGATCTGCTGAGAAAGGCGTTGTTGACTGATGGAGCAGTCGTTATTACTGCAACATAACTGAGAGGCCTGAAAATATTTAAGATCATTTCACGAACTCCGTTTATTTTTTTGTCTCTTTTTTGAAACACTGACATATATGGCTTTTATAGTTGTATATTAAACTTGGCATTGTTTCATTATTAAACTTGGCATTGTTTGGCAGCGTTTATTTCCTTGCACTTTACAATATAGAATTTATTTTAATACCAGAAATGTCCACCGTGCCCAAGTAAAATTTCACTTCTTCACTAAAGAACTGAAAAAACATCAGGACGACATAGGCAACCAGTAAAATTAGCATAACTGGCAACTTAAGGATTTGCCATGTTTGTAGAGAGCATTCAACACATTCAGAAAATATATTATGTGAAAATCAGTAACAGGCTCTTACAGTTAATTATTTTTGATAGCACATAAGAATGAAATCCAGTTTTCCCATCTCTTGGCCCTAAAACACTAAGAGCAGTTAAACTATTTCAGCAGCAGCTCAGCACAAGATGTTTATGATCTGTAAGAAACATAGTTTATCATAGAATCATATAACGGTTTGGGTTGAAAGGGACCTTAAAGATCACGTGACAGATAGTGTACATATCTTGAAAGTAGGGATCTTGCGGCACCATAAACTAGATATGTTATATGATACATATGTATGTGCAGATCAAAATACATCAGAAATCTACCCATATTGCATTTTTATTGTACAATAATTTTCAAAGGCTCTTCTATCACACCCTATAATTTCAGGTTCCTGCTTCTCAAGCTTACCTCTTCAATTGAAGGTATATTTTTTGATGCCTTTCATACACAAGTTATATTTATGTATGTCTCAGGGATTCCTAAATTTCAGTTAATTATGCAGTGAAGATAGAAAAATTGTAGCACATATCTTTCCCAAACTGAATTTAAATTAAATTTCCATTCCTTTTCCTAGGCTTTTCAGGTGTCTTAATATCCTTTGAGAGGGTTTGCAACTTCACAAAGTCATCAGTAGCAGCAAATTTCATTAATAATGCTAACCCTTTGGTTCACGTTATTAATGAGGATATTTAATAAGAACAGGCACAAGATCTTGCTCTAGCCTGTTTTTAATAACATTAATATATTTAATACTTTGAAACTACTCTGCTTTTTTATGACATACTATATCTTCTCTATTAGACTGCTGTATTTCTGTTGTGCAGCAAGCAATCGACTTTGGTGCTGCATATTTTGATTTGTGCTAACACTCCTATGCACTAATTTTACTAGCATGCCTTACATTTATTTATGTCATAAATCAAGCTGCCATTTCATTCTTACTTTTTTGCAACATAAATTCAGATGCCGTTGCTTCTGCATCACGAGTGGAAATTAATTTTGAGTTGATTTTTCTGCTGATTTGGCAAAATTATATTTTTTGCAAGGTACTGTAAACATCTTCTTTTATGATGTATCCATTAAGATGAAGGTTAAAAACACTTCGCTATGAGGTGTACCTCATTTTTAATTCAACTTTATTACATGCACTGTTCTCTGTAACTCTGTAGCACTGTAAACTATCCAGTAAGTTCTGTAACAGCCAGTATAACATCCATACGGACAGCCAAAGATGCTATCCTTTGCACTTAATGTTGATTACTTCAGTTTACATCAGAGCTCTATGTGATTCTCAAAACATTTAAATATGCCTGATTTCCATCATCAGCATAGGAGTAAACTGAAGCTCAAAATGACTGAGAGCAGCCCTGCAGGGAAAATTTTGCGGGTGATGACTGATGAAAAACTTGAGGCAGCAGTGTGCGCTTGCAGCCCGGAAAGCCAACTACATCCTGGGCTGCATCAAAAAGAATGTGGCCAGAAGGTCGAGGGAGGTGATTCTTCTTCTCTATTCTGCTCTTGTGAGATCTCAGCTGGACTATTGTTGGGGCTCTTCAGCCTGAAGAAGAGAATGTTGGGTGGACACCTCATAGCAACCTTCCAGTGTCTGAAGGAGGCATACAGGGAAGCCAGAGAGGGACTCTTCATCAGGAACTGTAGTGATTGACAAGGAGTAATGGATACAAATTGAAAGAGGAAAAATTTA